GGTTCGAGACCCGCTCCCCCGGGGAGGCCGGGCTGCAGCCCCGGTGAGCGCCCTTTCCCTTCCCCTGCAAGCGATACTCCCGCCGCCCACGGGTGTCCGCCCGAAAGGAGGGCTGCCACATCTCTGGAGCAGAGCCCCGGGGCAGGAGGCGTGCTCGCGGAGAGCTGAGCAACAGGGCAGGACCGGAGTCATCACCGCTGCGTGTGCCAGAGTCGCCCCGCAATTGCAGTCCTTCCCCGGGGCCTGCGTGTCACGGCACGGCCCTGCCAGGCGGGTCTGCCCGCTCCTGCCAACAGCGCGCTGCCTGCTGCGGGCATTGCCCGCTGAGCAAGAGCTGGGCCCTGCCTTGATCCCTGGGACCGCTCCCGTCGCCTCAGCCTGCCCTCTCATCCTTGACCCGCTCCCCAGGCGTCAGCCCTCCGCCTGGGCCCTCCACCTGCACCCTCGCAGCGTACATTCAAAAATATTTGGGGGGTGGTGGTGGTGGTAAGCTGCGTGTTCAAGCCTTATGGCTCGCGGAGCTGCGAGGTCATGGTTTTAACCAATTAAACGACGTAAGTAATGGCTCTGTGGTGAGTAAAGCGGCTGGAGGAGCCAACGCTTGCATGGGTCTGCGGGCCACAGAGAACAACAGTTGAAGCGGTGTCATGAGCCGTCTTCCACCGTAATTCATAGGAGGCCTGTGTGCTGTCCGAAGGCTTGGCGTGGGCGACGAAGGCTTCTCCCGCCTCGCCCTGCGAGGAAGCGGTGCCACCATGTCCTCAGCACAGCTCCAGCGAGGGGTGACTTTGCCGGCGTAGCTTATTCCCCACAGGAAACGGGCTTTGGCTACACTGACAAAATAACTCTTTTTTTTCCTGTGGAAGCTCTTCCCAAAACAGCATATAAACATTTTCCACTTGCGTTTATACAGCTTTTGCTCTGTTCCTGGATGATCTGTTTCTAAAACGTTTTCCATGCACCTGAGTAAGGTTGGAGTTTGTAGACAAAGCTTAGAAAAATCTCTTTTCTCTCTTCCGCTTGTGTCACTACTATGAATAAAGCATTTGCATTTTGGACCCTATTCTTGCTTTTATAGTGGAAAGCTCTGAAAAGCATCATGGGCCAGTCACGCAGACAGAGGCACGTCATGCCAAAAAGCAGCAGTCCCTGCACTGGAGGTTGTGCAGCTTTGTGACTGGATTACATGACACTTAATTTGTAAACGCAACGTATCGACACCTAGCACTGGGTAGAAAAGATCATTAATGAGTCACTCTTCCTTCCCCCGAATATGAAAATCTTTACAATTACAAATGTATAACATTGTGCTCTTTCTCGTTGGTATTTGAGCCTTTAGGGTGAATTCAGGTCACATTTTCAAGCTTTTCCTCTACAGCCATGAGGTCTAGATTTTTTTTTTTCCCCTCTTGAAGTTTCTGGTATAATGACATGGCTCTGGGAGCTGGAACTTTAAGGAAAAAGCCAAATATTGTGAGGCACATTCAAATCACGAGTTCTGCCAAATACTGGTTAGCACAGGTTTAACGCTGAGTAATACACCATTGAAGTGTAATTGTATAAATACTGAGATCTGACTTTTCAATGTAGAAAGAGTAGCAAAAAAAATTCCCAAATCAATTGTGCTCTTCCTGAGGAACCCTCCCAATGTTATGAATTATCCTGTGCTGTCAGATAGTCTCAGTATAGCTCAATGCTGTATTATTTATAAGATTTGATATATTTATATTGATATATTTAGAAACGTAGAAGCTTCGATTTTTACATAAACTACTTAAAATTATCATGGGAGGGGAGGAGGGAAGACATCATTCACTTGACCCTCTCCTTCAACCTGCTACTGAGGGTTTAACCACACTGAGGGTTTCTTTCACGTAATTCACATTAATGTAGAACTATCAGCAAAATCTGGGCCATGCTCATGAAGCATAGCAATGTATTTCTGGGGGTCAAATGAAGGTAGTTACTTAATGCTTAAAACTAGGTCCTGAAGATTACCTTGAACGTAATCAGCTTTTTATTTCTAACCACATTTCTACAGATAAATGCTTCTATTTCGTTGCCCCAAACTCTCTCTTTGTCTTTACCTGCATCAACAAAATTGTGTCCCGTAACTCGCATGCAATTCATCGACGACTGTATTCCTTATACACCACAGGTGCTGATTTTGTCCGATTCTGTAAAGAAAACAAAAATACCCTGCCAGCTTGACCTGCTTGTTGAAAAGTTAAGCAAACCACAAGTAAAAATACTTAAACTCTTCATGTGCAAGTGAAAAATAAACCCTGTTTTCTAAGCATGGTCACAAATACATAGGATGAAAATGTATTGGCAAAAGAGGAGAGATGGTATTTCCTTACCTCTCAGACTAGGATTTCAGATAATTCTTTCCTTCCTCTATAATGCAATATTCAGGAGGGTAATATAAAAATATAAATAAGTCAAATTGATACCGGTCTAGTAGAGTGAAACTTTAAAAACTGAAAAGCATTTCAAAAAATCAAAGAAATCCCTCTTGCTCATTAATTTAAAAAAAAAGTTTTAGTAACTTTTTGGAAGATTAAAGTTTTTTCCCCCTGCTATCTTCATTTTGTTGTCACTTATACTGCAAGTCTAATATCAAAGTGACAGGCTGCTTAATTTTTAGCAGAAAGCCCTCAATATTAAAAATTACTGATTTCATTGTGAAATCATTTATGAATAATAGTCTAGGCACCAGCTCTTCAAATCATGCCCTGCAGGCAAAATAGTCTTTCCATCTGCAGTGGCAGAACAGCCATTTTGGACATTACATCCGCGGATGTACTCTACGTCCAGTTTATACAGTTTCTAGATTTCATGCTTATGCTTGCACAAAAAAATATTTCTGAAGCAGAGTATTACATGTTAATTTTGAGAGGAGGAAAAACATATTTTACAAACAAACTGGTAAAGGTATATGAAGCAATGCTCTTTTTTCCATCATTCTCCAAATGTTACTAGCTATGGACCCCTGCAGCTGAACTACAGCGCCTGAACTATTGCATGATGAAATTTTACCTAAAATGTGCAGGCATAACAACCAAAGTATGTTAAAATAAGCTACCATCAACTGATTACAATCAGGTATTTCTTAGGCTTCTTTATTACCAGCAACATTTTTCCACTGACAACAAAGAGCATGGAGTTTCATCCCAGCCAAAGTTTCCATGCTGCAGTTGCTTCAGTGAATTCAGAACTGTATTTCAGAATTCAGAATTTTATTCAGAATTCAGAAGGGAACAATTTGTAGGATTGGGACCATAACTACTTTTGGAAAAGAAATTGAAAAATTACAAAAACTACACATTTCAAAATATTTTCAAGAATTTAAGGGAATTATCTCGTTGCCACTAGTTGACAAGCAATGACCAGTTCCAGCACAGCAGCAGAGATTTGAATATGAGAGCCAGCGTAGGCAATTGTTTCCCAATGCCGAGGTTTTCCCTGTGGCAGGGTCACTGCCGAGCACTAAGTCTTCACTGCAGACCTTACAGGTTGTGCCTTGCCGCTTCCTAAACTGAGGTCTGAATTTTTGTCCTCTGCGAGTATGTGTCTCAGGTGCGTCAGCTGTGGTGGTGAGGGCGATGGAGTCATGCGATACCTTTACTGATAGGACAGTGCTCATTATTTTGTCCTCATCCTCTGGGAGTCAGAGTTCAAATGGGCTGAAACTGTTTGACCTGGCTCTGCCTAACCAATGTCGCCAGTTGAGGAAGTTCTTCCAGGTCGGAATTCAGGTGGGCAGTGCATGCCAGGAAAGGCAAAATCCTCACCTTTCATCTGGATTGCTTTTGCTGTACCGCTTCTGTGGATGAAGAGGACTTCAGTCTAAGGAGCTGTCAAGGCAGCATCTTCAAAATAACGTGTTCA